CTGTTCTCTCATATGGTTTCTGCTTCTTTGTCTTCCCATTTTGGCTGCCTTTCCATGTCTGTTTCTATGTACTAAGCAAAGCTCCTAAGTCTCCTGGTCTTAATAGTGTGGATTTGTGAAGTAGGTACTGTCCAATGGCACAGTACTGAGAGGGGTTCAGCTGCAGGCCAAATTTAGCCCAAGCCCCTACTCTCCAGGGCCACCTGTTAAGATTCAGCAAGCAATCCAAAGATGCTGTGCTTATAGTTGCCTCAAAAGGCTACACCAGAAATGAAGGCTAGCTGCCTCCAGTGTGAGTCTAGGTGCTGCTCAGCAAGGAGCACTGACTCATTGAGGACACACCTGGATGTGGCCTGGGTGGGGCTATGAGTTGGGGGAGGCGGGGTTTCAGGGAATCCTCTGGGTGGAGCGACCTCTGTTATCCAGTTTGATGACATCATGACTATGGCAGCTCTGTGTCTCTGCACTGGGAGGGAGGAGGGCTCAACAGAAAACAATGGATACTGCCGGCACTCCTGTACAGAGCCTTGACCCTCACTCTGACAATGTCTCCCTGTAAGTCCCTGATGCATCCTGTGCGCAGCCGAATGGGCACCGGTGCTCAAAGCGAGCAGGTCCTTCACTATGAAAATCTGTTTGCGGACATGACCCTTTTAAGAAGCATCTGCCGCTGCCGCAGCCTATATCTCACGCAGCCTCTGGAGACCTGGCAGCCTTGCGTCCTTGCCTTGTCCTACCTTCTGCTGTCACAGGGTGATTTCCTGGACTTCTCCCTAGTTGTATGGCTTGTTCATCTAGATCACAGGCGGTTTTTCCTTGCTGCTGCTCCTTGTTTCTGTCACAACTTTGACTTGGTTGCTAGAGGAATGAACAAAGCCTCTATCATCTACGCCAATTTTTTTCCTCTCCAGTGATCTTATTTTCCTTACTACTTTAAACTTGTATTTTATTTAGCAACCTCCTCCAGCACTAAAACAATTTAAACAATATTAAATGTATCACCTCATCTGGTTTACTGATAGTTCCATTATTTTCCCGTATAAGACACTTAAATTAAGTTTATATTTTAAACAAATACTAATTAAACTCAGTTGGCATTTAGTGAGCATTTATTGCATTCAAGCTATTATATTAGGTGCTGCAGGTGAGAAAGGAAAAAGAACTAACATTATTGAGTACCCACTCCATGGGTTAGAATGTGCTAGGTACACAATTCTTATAACTGGATAATTATTTTCCTTTATAGATGAAGTTAACCACACTGACCTCCTGTTATTTTTCAAACATATAGGCATGCTTCTCCCCGAGGACTTTTACACTTGCTATTACTGTTGGAATGGGATAATCTTTCCCTGGAAATTTTGTATACCTAGTCATTGTTCAAATATAAACTGATCAGTAATGCCTTTTTTGACCATGCTACTTAAAATTTCAACCTCTCCCCACCACATGCTCCTTAACCTCCTTACTTGCTTTATTTTTCTTTATAGCTCTTATTGCCATCTAATAAACTTTGTATTTACTTCATTTATTTAGTTTATTATCTTTCTTATTTTAAATAATTTTTTATTTTTCAGTTATAGTCGACATACAATATTATATTAGTTTCAATTGTACAATATGGTGATTAGACATTTATATAACTTATGATGTGATCATCCCAATAAATCTAGTACCTGACACCATACATAGTTATTACAACATTATTGACTATATTTCTTATGTTATACATTTCCATGACTATTTTGTAACTACCAGGTTGTACCTCTTAATCCCTTCCCCACTTCACACATCCTCCCAAACCCCATCCCTTTTGGAAACCATCAAAATGTTTCTGTTTTGTTTGTTCATTTGTTTTGTTTTTTAGATTCCACATATAAGTGAAATCATATGGTATTCAAAAAGACACAGGTATCTACATATTCAATGCAACACTATTTACAATAGCCAAGATATGGAAGCAACCTAAGTGTCCATCAATAGATGAATGGATAAAGAAGTGATACATGTATACAATGGAACATTACTCAGACATAAAAATAATTCTTTAAAAAAAATGAAATCTTGACAACTGCAACAAAATGGATGGACCTAGAGGGTATTATGCTGAGTAAAATAACTCAGAGAAAGATAAAAACCATATGATTTCATTTATTGTCTTTCTGTCCTGACATAAAGGCAAGGGTTTTTATCTGTTTTATTCACCAGTGTACTCTCAGCCCTAGAACACTTGGTACATAGTAAGTGCTCAATGAATATTTGGTGAACAAATGAACTAAAACTCAGAGAATTAAGTAACTTTCCCAGGGATAAGAAAATGACACTCCATTTTAAAATAATAAACCCCAGAAACTCCAATATTAGTATTGGAATAGTAATCTCTTAGATGAAAATAATTGTTGGATCAAGTGTTTTATGTCCCCGAGATTGATTGCTGCCACCACCATACTGGCCTCAGGGAAACTGCTCCACTGTTAATACTGTTGCCTGGTTGCATGCATGCAAAATCCTTACTTGCGTTACTCCCCTAGCACAGCTAAGGCAAGGTGTTAAGGGGCAAGTAAGTCATTACTAAAGGCTGAGGGACAATGCAAGTGAAATAAACAGAGAGGAATATGAAAATAGATAATCTGATTGAAGAATTTTAGCTTGATCTTCAGGGTAGATAACCTAGTTTTGTGAATGTGCAATCTTGGGGATTCCTATTAATTCAAACTTGCCTCCTCTCACTTTCTGAAAGGAGCTTCATGATGCATCAATAGCCATTTAACTAGGAAGGCCGCATCTTCACGTAAGAGTTTGCATGTGCCGTGTCAGGTCTGAATCCAACCTGACACCAGGGGCTTATTCTAACATAGTGAGTTTAGACACTATTAAAGAGCTCAGGTAAGTGTGAGAGAGAATTCTTTCCCACTCACCTCCCTTTTTTGTACATAGAAGCACTTCCCTTGAGTAATTCTCCTAGCCTCCTGCCTTATCCCTTAATTAGATTCCCCGGGGTGGGTAAGAGCAACAGCTGTTTGATGGAGTTTGGAGAGAGAACTGGCTCCTTCTGGGTCCTCTCTCTTTGAGACCTGTCTATCTACAGTGAATGATCTTAGTGATCTGCTTTCTGTCACATAGCAAACTTAACCCCTATGGGGTGGGGGGAGGTTTGCAGTTCTGGGGGTCGAGTTCAGTTCAGAGATGTCAGGGATCCACACTACTCTCTTCAACATAGTTTTATCAATAATAAAGCATTTTTATTCTATTTGTCTTATTCTATTTGTCTGACTCCTGTGCCGGGTTTTTTTTTCAGTTAGTTCCTAATTGTAGTAGGCAAAATAAGGTTGTTATTTATTGGGACCTTTGAACTCCAAGCAAGTATATAATTATATGAATTACAGTAATGTAGGTGGTGTGTTAATCTGCATAGGATAGGCAACACTGCAGTAACAAACAAGCTACACAACTCTCAATGACTTGACTCAATAAAAACCTATTTCTCTCTCATGTCACAGTCCAGTGTTAGTTGGCTGGCCCTCCTCTATCTTGTAGCTATGCCATCTAGAATATGTGGCTTCCAGGGTCACTGCAACAGGGCAAAAGAGAAGTGGAGGAGGAACATTAGCTCTTAAGTGCATTGCCCTGGAAATGATACCCAACACTTCTGCTGAAGTTAGACATAAGCAGGCACATGGCTCCAAATAACTACAATAGAAGCTGGGAAATGTAGAGGAACACATGGATGGTTTGGAGAACATAAACTGTCTCTTTTAGAAGGGGATTCAGAACAATCAAGAAAGGTCCAAGGGAGCAGAAAGGGGAGTGATCGGTACTGAAATTATATCTTGCCTATATCATAGTTTTCCCAAAGCCAGACATTCTGTCTGAAATTAATCTATACAATCTCTTCAGAATATAATCAACCCATTTACAAATTACCTTAATATGAGAATTGAGGGGTTTTCCCATTAATAAGTGTGCATTTTACCTGCAGTTTTCTGGAGACAATATGCTCTCGGTTTTATTGCATATTTATTGTCTTTGTTTCAATAGGTTCTACGTTATTAATGATTTGAGGAGTGAGAATTTTTGACCCACAATATTTTTGAATACTTTGAGTTTTTCAGCTCTATTCAAATCCCATCAAATAGGGCATTTTTCCTCTCTCCCCTCAGATGGGATTTGTTTGAGTAGGAGTCATCTGATGTAACCATATATGTTAAGAGTACTCTGAATTAATCAGCTGGTATTTGTTAGTTCTTTTTCTAGGAAGAGAATCCAAGATCTTTCTAGGCCTAAAAAACAATGGGGAACACCAGATAGGTAAGGCAATATTATATAGATTTGTTTGTGATGATGTATTACTTAAATAGGTAAGTATTAACCTTACCTGCCCACTAACCCTTTATCCTAGGTGTATCCACTTCTCTGCTCAACTGGATCCACTGAACTGATATTGTCACCTCAGTTGAGTCAACACATGGAAGCCAAACCCTAGGTCATTGGTCCTCAAATTTGTCTGCACATCGAAATCACCTGGAGACCTTTAAAATTGACTGATGCTTGGGTCTCATCTCCGGAAATCTTGTCTTACTTGGTTGGGGTGCAGCCTAAGCTTTGGGACTGTTAAAAACTCCCAAGATGATTGTCATAGGCAGACAGGTTTGAGAACCTCCATCCCACAGTGTTACTTCACACTCCTTTGAAACTCTGATATCTATCCTCAAGATTATTTCTTCTAACATCTGGCATTGCTGTCTCAACACTTCTGCTTAGAAGATACCCGTTCTCTGAATCTCTACCAGGCTAGACTCATTGTCCTTCTCCCTTTGGCCATAGGAATCCTCTTTTTCTTCTTTGTTTCCTAAGTAAAACCTGAATTGTTGTTTTCAGTTATGTGTCATTCTTTAGTTCCCATTTACTTTTATATGGACATACAGTGAGGAAATAGTGTGAAAAGGTGAGAATACATAGAGTGAAAGGCCTGTTGGCAGTTCTCAGCCTTTAATTCATAGGCTCACTTTTTAAATTGTACAGTTCTATGAGTTTTGACAAATGCATAATGTCATCTGTCTACCTTACAGTCTTGTATAGAATAGTTTCATTGCTATAAAAATTACCTGTGCTACCTATCATTTCTTTCCTTCTCTCCCCTGTTCTCCAAACCCCTGGCAACCACTGATATTTTTACTGTATTGTTTTGCCTTTTCTAGAATGTCATATGGTTGAAATTGTACAGTGTGTAACCTTTTCTAACTGGTTTCTTTCACTTAGCAATAGGCATTTAAGGTTCCTCCATGGCTTTTCTTGGCTTAATAGCTTGTTTCTTTTGAATGCTGAATAATATTCCATTGTTTGTTTATACCACAGTTTATTTTTCCATTCATCAATCGAAGGACATGTTGGTTGCTTCCAGGTTTTGGCAGTTATGGATAAAGCTGCTATAAATATTTGTATGCAGGTTTTTGTGTAGATACATGTTTTCAACCTATTTAGGTAAATACCTAGGAGTGCAAATTGCGGGATCATAGGGTCAGAATATATTCACTTTGTAGCAAACTGTTAAACTGTCTTCCAATGTGTCTGTGCCATTTCTACCAGTAATTAATGAGAGTTCCTATTGCTCCATATCTTCACCAGCACTTGGTATTGTCAGCTTTTTGATTTTAGCTATTCTAATAGGCGTGTAATGGTATCGTTGTTTTAATTTGCAATTCCCTAATGGCATGATGCTAGCATATTTCATATGTTTATTTGCCATCTTTATATCTTCTTTGGCAAAATGTCTGTTCAGATCCTTTGTCCACTTTTTGATTTTTTTATTGTTGAATTTTAAGAGTTCTTTGTATATTTTGAATACCAGTTCTTTACCAGATGCTATTGACTCAATTTTTATGTCCCTTCGAAATTCATATTTTAAAATCTTGTACCCAATGTGATGGCATTTGGAGGTGGGGCCTTTGTGATTAGATCATGAGGGTAGAGCCCACATCAATGAGATTAACACCCTTATAAAATGTTGGGGTAACCATGAGCAATGGAAATAACCAAGTATTGTGCAAGGCATGTTTGGGCAGAAGCAGAAAGTCACATTGGGAGTAATTTAGTCATTTAGAGACCCCAGAGAGCTCCCTGACCACTTCTACCCTGTGAGGACACAAACTTCTGCTTTAGCCTCTTATTCTCCTCAAAGTCATTCTCTCCTCTCTAATCTCTACTTCACATCACCATCAGGTGAGTCCCTGTTTTCACCATTTGTTCACTCATCAAACCATGATAGAGTACCTGCTGTGTATAGCACTAAACTATGCAAGGGGAAATCTCCAAAAGATTAAGACCTGATCTCTCTCCTGGAAGAATGTACAGGCTAAAGAGGCAGGTGCTTGTCAAAACTGTAGAGGGTCTTGTAAGCCACAGTGAAGAGTTGGGATTTTATTCTAAAGTAAATGGAAACCTTTAAAGTGTCTTAAACAAGGGGATAACCTTGATCAGATTGGAGTTTAGAAAGATCACTCTGGCAGTGATGTGGAGAAAAGAGTGTGGATGATGGGATCTGGACAAGGGAGATAGGAACAAGGGTGATGAGAAATTGACAGATTAGAGTCATATTTAGGAAAAGGAATCAGAAGAATGTAGAGGGTGGGGATATTAACTGACTGATTGATAAACATTTCTAATAGTGACTCTAGCTGATGTTTACAAAGTAGAAGCAGAAAGATTATATACAAAAATGTAAATAAAATTAGAAAAAAAAAGAACAGCTGGGGCCTCTTAAAGACATAAGCTCAGTTAGTTGGCATATTTTGTTACGTGCAAAGTAGGGTTACTGAGGTACTTTTCTCTGACTCCTTGGCCAGGCCTTCAAGACCTTCTTCTGCCTTCCCCACCCATTCCAGCAATGTTACTTAATTACTCTCAACATGACTTTCCACTTCTGCCCAAACATGCCTTGCACAATAGTTGGTTTTCCCATTGCTCATGGCAGTCTGTGCCTTCTACTTTCTTCCATGAAGCTTTTTCAGGATAATCCTGGACTGATTTCTCTTTTTCTCTTCACCCTCTGCACAATAATCATACCTATTTCACAGGGCTGCTGAGACTAAATGTCCGTAAAGCACTTAGCCCAGTGCCTACTCTCAGTAAGTATTCCACAAATGATAGCTATTAATTTTACTCTGTTACGATTCTATTTTCTGACCACCTGGTACAGTGCATCATCCAAAGTGAGAGCGCAGTGTGGAGAGGTGACATGCCAATTTTATGTTGACCTGACTATAAATTATAGTGTTAATTACATGATGGCATAAACAGAACTATCTCTAATGGGTTCATTTTTGGTCACTACATTTTAAGACAGTTAACTTGAGTAAGTAATTTATCTGCTTCTGATGCCTGGAAATTGTAAAATTCTGTAATGGAGATAATTCTTAAACTAAAGTAAAATCATTAGAGAAGCCATCAAGAGCCATTTCTAAGATGTCCATTAACAGTGAATTTTTCACCATTTGATTTTTTCTGGTTTGTTACAGAAAACTGTTTTGGGGAAATCAAGATCCTATTTGCCCTATTTCCAGGAGTGCTTTGAATGCTCAGCTGACCAAAAGACTTGAGAACCTTGCCCAGCCCAAGGAAGTCTCCCACCGATATGTACCTAACAGGTTGGTGTTGTGTGTTACTAGGTTACTTTATCAGGAGAATCTAGGGAAAATGAACACAGAACCCAGCCCTTTTATCTCAAAGCCACAAATAGTCATATAGTCAAAATTTATTGAGGATTAGGGATTCTCTATCTGTTTCCAATCTGATATTACAGTACAACTCTTTCAGAGCAAGATCTAATATTTAGCTATTGCAGACTTGCTTTATATCTTATAAATGTTTGACTCATCAGGATTTCTGTTTTTTAATAAAGCGAGGGTATTATGCAAGGATATGTACCATATATAACACTGTTGCAGATGAACTTATTTGTTCATGAAACTATGAATTTTGTATACCACCCATGGGCTTGATTACCATAAGTTAATTAGGGCATTTAAAGGTAAGGATAGTTTTAAGGCATTTGATGCCCATTGCCAATTTGCTTTTAGCACATTTGTTAAATGACTTAGCTTTCTGCTGGTTGGCTTTTGGAGAAAAGACTGTAGTGGGTCGCGGGGCGGTGCAAGGGACAAGTGCAGGCAGTAAGGGAGGTTAAAGTAAAGAAAAAGGTAAAACTACTATTATTTATCTGAAGTTTGGTTTTTAGGATAATTGAGGTGGCCATTTCTCTATCTCAATATACAACTTTAGTCAAAAGTCAACACTTTTTCTGGAAGGGACCAGATATATAGTTGGCCACAAAATATCTGTTGCAACTACCCAGCTCTACCATTATAGAGGGAAAGCTGCCATAGACATATGTAAACAGAGCATGTCTGTGTTCCAATAAAACTTTAGAATTTTGTGTTTATGTTCATGAGGGATATTAGTCTATAGTTTTTTTGTAATGTCTTTGCTTGTGGTAATGTCTTTGTTTATGGTAATTGATTAGTTGTTCATACAATCAATTGGAAAATGTATAGAATTGGTATTTATTTCTCCTTTAAATATTTGGTGGAATCCATCATCAAATGAAATCATCTGGGACTGAAGTTTTTTGGTGGGAGAGCTTTTAACTCTAAATTTAATTTATTTAATAGACATAAGGCTGCTATAAATTTGTCAATTACCACCTGTTAAGTGGAACACAGGGTGCCTGCAGTTCAATAACAGACTCACAAAAGAAAACAAAATAGAGAAGTTTATTACTCACAAGTCCTAGAGGAAGTACCTGGCATGCCTCAAGGGGAAGTCACGGCAGAGTTCTGACAGAGAGAGGAAGAACTGGGGTTTTATTAGGATCCATAGGTAGAATGCTTTGGGATTTCCAGGCTAAGTCGAGATTGGTCAATTCAAACCAAAAGAATGAGATTTTAGTAAGCTCCTCAGGGGTCTTATTTAAGGGGCACATAGGGAAAGGCATTGAGAATCGGGGGAGACTGTTAGTCCAAGGGCTATTTAGTGAAGTCATATCAGGAACTTACATTTACTTGTGATTTGGTGGGATGGTATCTAGGGCATGTGCTTGCATGAGGGACTAGTGTCAGTTTGTCACTGCAGGCTGCTTAGCCAAACAAAATGGTTGCCAAAGCAGCAATACCATGGAGTAGCTTAGCTAAACTGTCAACAAGGGCTATTCAGATTATTTCTTTCTGAATGGGCATTGGTAGTGTGTTTCTTTCAAAAAATTTATCCATTTCATCTAATTTAAAAAATTTGTTGGCATAAAATTGTTCATATAGTCTCTTATTTTCCTTTTAATATCTGTCCAATCTCTAGTGATGATTCCTCTTTCATTCATGTTATTGGTAAGTCGTGCCTTCTCTCTTTTTTGCTAATCATTCTGGCTAGAGGTTTATCAATTTTTGGTTTCATTGATTTTTTCTCTATGATTTTGCCATTTACTATTTCTTTGGTTTCTGCTCTGATCTTTATTATTTCCTTTCTTCTGATTACTTTGGGTTTATTTGCTCTTTTTATAATTTTTTAAGGTGGAAACTGAGAGTAACTGCTACTTTGATGGAATTGTGAGACTTGGGTATGTGGATAACTGTGGAAGGGGAGTAGAATCATATAAAGGCAGCAGCCATACATTCTTTTAATATGCAATTTCTATGAACAAGAGAGATATGCACATGTGAAATTTAAAATTAATATACAAGTTGGTTAATAATAAAATCTTATTTGAATAATACTTTTTAATTAATAAAATGACTTATATGTCTCTTATCTAATCTTCATAACAACCACAAAATGTATTATTTTCTCCATCTCACTCATGTACTTCTAGGTGTTGGCGGCATAAGGCATAAGTATTATGGTCAGTACATATATTCATGGCATTTGATGCTTGCCATTCCCACCCGAAAGAATGCTGAGTAGCTGCGTTATGTCTCTAGTGTCCTCCCATCTTTCTTTTTTGTATCTCTCACCCACTGCCTGGGCCTCTACCCTTTGCCCTACTCTACAATACATCTTGCCTTTGTACTGCTCGTTAGCTGCCTAAGCACCCCTTCCTCCCACTCACACCCACCCTCCTTATGTGGGTCTGATCACTTCAAAGTGCCCCATTGTCCAAAATCACCTCTTCCTTCTCTACCTCAAGTTCCTAAACTGAACTGTCATTTTTTGAAAGAGGCGAATCTCAGGTAAGTGCAAGAAGTTCCCTGTCTGTTTGAGGTTGTCAGTGTAAGTGGGTGAAGATGGCTGAGTCAGTTCAGTCAAGCAGTGGAGCCTGGGCTGGGCAGTCTCAAACCCTTTGAAAGCAGATGTGTGGTGTATTGACAGGCTTTAAGGCTGAGTATTCACAAGCAAGGGAGATACAGGCTTAAACACAGACCCAGGCTTATATTAGCAGCCAGCAGACAGAGGCCTGGGCAGATGGATGCAGATTCACATCCATGAACATTCTAAAGGAGCAAAGGTCCTTTGGAAAACAATAGAAGTGGAAGTGGGACTGCAATCTGAGTTAACAGCAGATCTAAAACAGTATCACTTCCTTTTCCACTGATGATATATTTTGATTAGGTAAAGATTGAAGGGCAGGAGTGATAAGAAGAACAATATTATTATTTATCCTAAATAAAATCTTTGTTAACAAAACCCAACAATTATTAAATAATCTATATACCATGGTTAAGTAGACTTCATTCTTAAACTCAGAGTTCTTGTTACAAAGAAAAATGCCAATGTAATACATTCTATTAACTAAAAATATAGTAAAAATATTTAAATCATCTATATAGAGGTTAAAGAAATTTGGTTTTAAAGCAGCAAATGTTTTCTTTACATCAGTGTATTTTTTGGTCTCTTTAGAAAATGCAGTTTATTTTTTATAGAAAACTGTTCATTTTAGAATAAAATATTAGAAACTATCTGAAAACTTGATGACTGTAACCATTTCTAACTTCTTCCCATGTAGAACATAGCTCGGCAGTAAAGGGGTAAACTGTCATGCTGGCTCTCCTAGATCTGGGGGTCAGTGTTAGAAATTACTATGATTATTTGAATTTCTGACTGTTTTACTCACTTTTTTTCTTCTTCTACAACTTGCAGGGCTCAATATTACTACAGCTGTGGCAGAGGTTCTGTAATCTGGGAGATCCCTTCTTCTGCACTGTTTAGAAAAATTTCCAAAAGGATCCAGAAGCTGGCACAGCCCAACAGAGTCAAGAAAGAGCATGTAATAAATAGGTAGAGTACCTTGAGATGCTCCACAGATTCCAATCTGATTTGGTAAAGTGTCACAATATTGTTGCTCTTATTTTAGTGCATGCAGTTCCATAAACTAAAAGTCCACTCACGTTTCAACAAATCAGGCTAAAAAAAATCACATTTTCAGCAATTATAGGTAATTAGAAGATATCGTTAATAATAACATTTGACTCAAATTATGGTGAAGCTAAAAGTCACACTAAACTTATCATTGTTGGCCAATTAAAAGAAAATATGTAAATAAAATATGACAGGTTTTTGCAATTTATAGAACTTGATGTTCTTTTATGTCACTGTGACTTTGCTCATTATCATCCTTTTGCTTTGAATGCTGAATTTCTCCTTGTCTTTAAAAGACAGCTAAGATAATATTTTCCACATAGGAGCCAAGATTATGATGTTGAAAAAAAGAATGAATTAGTGGAATATGTATAGTGTACAATTACAAGAAAGTGGATAGTATTACTATACACTGCTTCAGTCAGAACACATTAAGTGTATGTGTCCACTTATGGATGTTATAGCTCAAGAAACTGATCATAAGTTTGAGACTATTCAGAAGAAAATGAATGAGATGTTGAGGTTTCTGGAAACTATATTGTATGGAAAGTAGTCAATAGAAAGGACATATGTAGCTTAGAGAAGAGACCAAAGAAGCTCAGTGATAGCTGTTTAAAGGGTCAACATCTGAAAGAGGAAGAGTATGTAAAGTATAATTACCTTATGTCTATTCTAGAATTAGAAGTAAAACTAGGAATTTACAGAGCAGTAGTTGTGTCAGCTAAATGTAAGACAATCTTTCTGATTGGCTACTTATTCAGTAATGGAAATGTTTATCTGTAGAAATCAACTGCCATCTCCTCCCTAATTCCTAAAAGTGTGCAAGCACAGGCTGGAATGATGACTTTACATCGATTTTAGTAAAGATTGCTGCATTCAGAGAGAGGTTTAACTGGATAACTTAAGTCTTTTTCCATCATAGAATCCAGAAAAAGAGGCCCAATTCCTCCAATAAAATTTCTCCATTTGCTTATTTATCATTTCATTTTTTAAAAATCTGCTAATTTAGTTAAAATATACATATAAATTGATGTGTATATATATACATATATATACATACACACACGCATGCATATTTATTTGTTTGTTTGTTTATTGACCAGAGGAATACTTTGTCTGTCACCACTTTTTGAGACACCTGAGTTTGATGTTTCATATAAGTGAAACCCCTTTGAGTATTAAAACTTTCTGTATTTTTAAAAGCTTATGTTTCCTCTGCTTTCCTAAGCTGATTCTTCTGCTACTGAACAAATATGTAACCTTTGTTCACTGGATTGAATAGTTATTATGAACATTAACTACTACATAAACCTTTAATACAAAAAACCTCTCAGGAGCTGTTTGATTATGAAGCAGTTTTTCCTGAGGCAAAATGACCTTACCTCTGCGCTTTTGGATTATAAGATATTTGCTTCTCATAGTTTTTCTGTTATTTCTACTTTTATTGGTGGAATAGTCTCAAACCAGCCTCTTTTCTGACTCTCTGTACACTGGAAACAGAAAACCTAGCTTGTTAGAATTGAATGTGTGTGTGGGGAGAAGCAAGTGCTTAGTGAAGACACACAGGGATCGCCAATAAACTACTACATGAGTTTGAATTTTGTGTTATATATTTTAGCTGATTCACTATAAAGTCTCAAGTGTAGATTTGAACAGTTAGAAGAATCAACCAACTTAAAAATAGGTTAATTGAGGTAGTCAAGTCTAAAAAACAGAAAAAAATAAATAAAATGAACAAGGCATCATAGACCTATGGGACACCATTAAGAGTATCAATATATCCATAATGGGAATCTAATAAGAAGAGAAAGATAAAGGGGCAGAAGGAATATTTAAAGAAATAATGGCTCAAAGCTTCCCAAATCAGACGAAAAACATTAATCCACACATCTAAGAAACTCAATAAACTCCAAGTGTGTTAAAATCAAAGAGATCCATAACTTGACACATCATAAACTGTCCATAGCCAAAAAGAGAATCTTGAAAGCAACAAGAAAGAAATGACCCATCACATACAAATGAACTGCAATAAGATTAACAGGTGATTTCTAATCAGAAGCCATGAATGCCAGAAGGATGATATATTTAAAGCTCTGAAAGAGAAAAAAAACTGTTAGCCAAGAATTTTCTATCTAATAAAACTATCCTTCAAAAATGAAGGAAAAATTAAGACATTCCCAGATAAATAAAAATAGAAAATTTATTGCCAGCAGACTTGTTTACAATAAATACTAAAGGGAGTCCTTCAGGCTAAAATAAAAGGACACTAGACAGTAACTCAAACCTACATGAATAAATAAAGGGCATCAATAGAATTAACTACATAGGTAAATATAAAAGACAGCATAAATGTATTTTTCTGTTTGTAACTCTTTTATTCTCCTATCTGATTTAAAAGACAATTGCATAAAGCAACAAGTATAAATCTGTGTTGATGGGCATACAATGTATTTTTTAAAAACAGCAAAAAGGAGGAGGAGGAGATGGAATGGTATTAATCTGAACTAAATTGTTATAAGATGTACAGGGCAACAACTAAGAAAATAATTTTTTAAATATGGGAAAAGAAATAAGGGAATTAAAATGATACACAAAATGGCACACTAAAAATACTTAATATTTTGGAGGAACAAAAAAGGAACAAAAAGATATAACATGTAAAAACAAATAGCAAAATGGCAGTATATAGGTATAAGTTTTATGTTATCATTAAATACATTAAATGATAAATAAATTGAACGTGCCAATCAAAAGACAGGGATTGACAGAATGGGTGAAAAAACAAATACTCAGCAGTATGCTATCAACAAGACACATACTTTACATTCAAAGAAACAGGCTAAAAGTAAAATGATGAAAAAAGTGTATACTATGTGAACCAACCAAAAAAGAGCTAGAGTGGCTATATTCATATCAAACAGCATAGACTTTAAGACAAATATTGATACTAGAAACAAAGGACATTTTATAATTATAAAATGGTCAATCAATTAGGGAAATATAACAATTATAAACATATATGCACCTAACAACAGAGTCCCAAAATAGATGAAGCAAAACCCGATAGAACTGAAGAAATAGACAAGTAAACAATAATAGCTGTACTCTTCAATACCCCACTTTCAATAACGGGAGGAATAACAAGCAAAAGATTAACAGAGAAACAGAAGGCATGAACAACACTATAAACCAACTATACCTAAAAGATATTTATAGAACATGCCACCCAAAAATAGCAGAATATACATCCTTATCAATTGGAACATTCTCTATGATAGATCATATATTAAGTCATAAAATAAGTGTCAATAAATTTAAAAAAAACTGAATTCATACAAAATTAGTTCTCTGACCACAATAGAATAAAATTAGAAACCAATAGCAGGAGGAAATTTGGAAACTTAAAAAATATGTGAAATATTTAATGTGAAACATTCCTAAACAATGGTCAAAGAAGAAATCACTTTGATATTAATAAAAATAAAAACACAACATACAATAACTTATGATATGCAGCTAAAATAGTGTTTAGTGAGAAGTTTTAGCTGTAAAAGACTACACAGAAAAGAAAGATCTTAAATTGTAACCTAATCTTCCATCTTAAGATATTGTAAATAGAAAAGCAAATTAATTTAAAACAAGCAAAAAGAAGGAAATAATAAAGATTAGAGTAGAAAGAAATGAAATAGAAATTAGAAAAATAGAAAATCAACAAAACCAAAAATTGGGTTTTCGAAAAGATCAGTAAAATAAACTTTTAGCTAGACTGACCAAGACAAAAAGAAGATTCAAATTACTAAATTCAGGAAAAAAAGAGGGGACCTTTTTAAGGATCATTTACAACAAAAAGGGTCATTGCAACTGACCTTATAGAGATTTAAAAAAGGATTATTAGGGTTACTATGAGCAATGGTATGGCCCATGAATTAGGTAATGTAAATGAAATGGACAAATTCCTAGAAAGACAAACTACTGAATTTGATTCAATAATAAAATCTTAACAGGTCTATAACAAGTAAAGTAACTGAATTAATAACTTTAAAAAAGTTCCCATGAACAGCTCAGGAACAGATGTCTTTACTGATGAATTTTATGGTATATTTAGAGAAGAACTAACACCAATCCTCTAGACTCTTCCAAAAATAAGACACTTTTCAAACTCATTCTATGAGGTCTATATTACCATGATACCAAAACCAGAAAAGGCTGTTACAAGACAAGAGAATGACAATACCTCTTAGGAATATACATGTAACAATCCATACCAAAAGACTACCAAAGCAATTCTAAATATACAGGCAACAATCGACACCAAAATACTAGCAAACCAAATCCAACAACATATAAAAATAATTATACACCATAAACAAGTTGGATTTATCCCAGGAATACAAGAATATATTCAGTTCAATATACTAAAATCAATGTAATATACTAAAATAATAGAATTAAAAAAACAAAACCACATGCTCATCTCAATAGACTCAGGAAAAAACATTTGACAAAATTCAACATGCTTTCATGATAAAAATGCTTAATAAACTAGGTATAAAAAGGAACTTTCTCAACTTGATAAAGAGAATCTACAAAACCTCTACAGCTAATATAATTAACGATAAAAGATGAAATGCCTTCTCCCTAAGATCAGGGATAAGACAAGGATGTCAGCTCTCACCACTTCTATTCAACATATTGGAGATTCAAGTCAGGGAAATTAGGCAAGAAAAGGAAAGAAAAGCCATTCAGGTTGGAAAGGAAAAAGTAAAACTATCTCTACCATAGATGACATGACTTTTTATGTAGACCATCTTAAGGAATCCACATAAAAACTATTACAGCTAATAATAATGTTTTTTAAACTGCAAGTCTCAACCTATCAGTTGATCATGAAATCAATTCTAGCTTTTATTTTAATTAAATCATATTAAATTTAAAAAATTAGAATATATTGCCTAGGGCAAGCATTATTTCATGATAAGTTTATTTCAGATACATACATGGATTTACATATGCTGTATCACAATATAAAATGTACTTCTTACTGTGGATCACAGTAAAAAAATTTTTGAGGAAAACCAGTCTGGTGATTATGGGAAAAGATGTTCCTGAGATAGAAATAATATATATAATTGTTTGGATGTTAATTATAGCAATGAAAATGCAGTTATTGTTCCTCCAATGATGATAATATTTTATGTTCAATTTGCATATAGGTCATTCAGTGATTACTTAAAAAAAGATTCTCTTAAAATCTCTGATCCTTCTCCTCGGATACTACGACTCTCAATAGCCAAAGGCACAGATCCAAACTACCTTCCTCCAAAAAACGTGAGTCTATGTGAAAGGAACAGTTCCTAACTGACTTTGTAACATGTAATATGTTTGTAAATATAACATGCTTTTATAACACCTTTATTTCTAGGTGTGTACTTTCCTTTTCTTTCTCTTTATTTTCTCCTCTCATCAAATAAACTTTTCTGACTACCTCATCTGTGCCTCATGTATCAGTCAGGATTTGATCAGAGAAACAGAACCACTATGAGTAACACAAAATTAGTACTTAAGCTACTGTGGGAGCTGGAACAGCTATGGAAGGCTGTTATGGCACCTAGAACTTGGGTCTGGTTATAGATCTAGAAGCAATGGAAGATAGTAGGGGTAGGTCAGCAGCTTCCCCGGAGGGTATTTACTTCAGGGGAAGCCATTACAGTTTCTTCAGGCAAGGGGAGTCTAACCCCCTCAGGCAGGGAAGGAAGTGCTGATTCTATTGGTAAGGAAGGCTCAGCAGTACTCAGTGGTTTAAAGTACACAGCTTCATTGGAATCTGCACATCTTCCCCCATTCTTATTTTCAAGGACCCATTTCTTCCTGATCATTGCCCTAATTTGAGTATAGGAGATCATATAAGTTTGAGAATTAAATTTGCATTGTAATTTACCCACTTGCGGAATTAGATTTTAGGTTTGTTTTTAAGAATTTTCAGGCCTGTGACCATAGAAAATAAGGTTTTTTGGGGGGGTAAGTTATAAAACTTTTTGGTCCTTTACCCACACCTTAAGGTGGGAATTTAAAGGCTCGAGCTAATCATTTCTTTCTTCAGCTTCTCCAGTGTACTTTGAAACAACAAACCAACTCCGCTATACTTCCTTATTTTACTAAAATGTTCTCTGTTGCTTGTCACCCAAAGTCTTGCTTTCTGTTTTGTATGCCATGGACTACCAGTGTCCTTTTTAAATTTTTTTTAACCACTGGCAATAGGATCATTAATACCTTTAAATCTAATCAGCTCAGAAAACAAACTCCAGATAATCTAAAACCAATATAGTTCTGATCCAGTTATCTGTTGCTTCATACAAAACCACCTCCAGACTTAAGACATTAAATAACCACCATTTTATTATGGTCAAGGATTTTATGAGTCAGAAATCTGGGCAGAGTAAGCAGGGTTGTCTCTGCTTCATGCTATCTGGGGTCTCAGCTGGGGTATTTCAAATGGCTCACATTTCTGAAATGGTCACGGGCTGGAATCATCTGAAGCTTCCTTCACACCTGTCTTAGTCACCTCAGGCTGCCATAACAAAATACCATAGACAGTTCTAGAGGCTGTGAAATCCAAGATCAAGGTGCCAGCATATTCTCTTCTTGATGAAGGCTCTATTCCCAGTTGTAGCCAGTGACCATCTTGCTGGGTGCTCACATGATCTCTGCATGTGTGTATGCAGAGGGAGAGTTCTGATGTCTTTTCCTCTTCTTATACAGACACTAATCCCATCATGAGGGCTCTAATTTGATGGCCTTATCTAAACCTAATCACCTCCCAAAGACTTTACCTGTTAATACCATCACATTAGGGGTTAGGGCTTCAACATATGAATTTTGTGTGGGTGGGGGACATAAACATTCAGTTCATGACAATACCTATTTGTGGTGTCTAGGCTGGGATGACATGAAGGCTAGACTCATTTGGGACTATCTATGGGATCACCTTCATATGCCCTCTCCATGTGTCTTAGACCTCTCTCAGCATGGCAGCTGCATTCTGAGAAGGAATATCCTAAAATGGAGTTCCCAAGGGTGAGCATTCCAAAAGACGAGGTGGCAACTACATGTTTTATATTTTTATGATTTGGCCTTGCAAGTCACATATCACTGCAGTCATAATCTGCTGATTGATGTAGTTACAAGTCTGGCCAGATTCAAGGGGGCAGGGATACAAACTCCACCTTTCAAAGCGAGAAGTGGCAAGGAATTTATAGTCACTTAAGAAGAAAACTGCTACACCCAATAATGTGAGTCTTTTGGTACCCTTGAGCATAGTTTCTGTTTGCAGAAAAGACTGTTCAGAGGTATGTGCTTGCTTTAAATAATTAATAGTCTATTTAAAAATTTAGAATTAAAAATAATCTATTTTTTATTTTAGGCTTCAAATTTAAGTTCAGCTTGAAAGTTATTATTCTATTTATGATCCTAGCAGTTTTTAACAATGATTTTTAAGAGTCCTGAATAATGTTTGGTTTGATTTTTTAAACTTAAATACCTTGAAATACTTTAAACTATATTTATAAATATATAAATTTGATTTTTTAAAGTATTTTCTTCAACCATCTACATTAACAAGCAAAACCTTTTCAAATATTAGTTATTTAAAAATCAAATACATTAAACTTATAAATATGGTGAACCTGAAGTTTTTAAATGTGAGAATGACATGGGCTTAAGATTTTAACTTAATGTCATAATTCTAAATCGATCACTCAATTATACATTTCAAATTGCAGTTGTAAGTTTACCATTCTAATAGGCCCAATTCTCTTAAACATGTACATACCTTTGATTTTAATAGTATATATGCTTTTTGTTTTAATAATAATTTAAAATTTACTGAAAAGTTGTAAAAATTAACATTTTTTACATTGGCTTTATCATTCTCTCTTCTCTATGGTGCTTGTTTATTTGTGTTTAATTTTTTTCTGAATCATTTATTATTTTTGAGAGTAAGTTACAGACATCATATACCCCTTTCTCTAAATCCTTCAGTATGTATTTCCTAAAAACGAAGACATTGTCTTATATAACTACAATACTGTTATCAAAATCAGGAAATTTAACATTCATATATCTTTCTCATGATCCATGTTCAAATTTCATCAATTCTTGCACATATATATTTTTTAAAATTTATTTTATTAGTTTCAAGTATACAGTACATCGGTTAGACATTTATGGAGTTTATAAAATGATCCCCCTAATTGCTCTTTCTCTCCTCTGGCTCTCCACCTAGCTATTACATTAATGTTAACTGCGTTCCCTATGCTATACTCCTCATCCCTGTGACCATCTATCAACTACTAATCTGTACTTCTTTAGCCCTTCACCCCTTCCTCCCAGTCCCCTAACCCCTCTCCCCGCTGTCCGTTACCAGATTGTCTTCTATATTTGTGAGTCTGTTTTGAGTTAGTTTCTTCTTTTTTGTTCCTTAGATTCCACATATAAGTGAAATTATGTGGTATTTATCTTTCTCTGACTGACTTCTTTCATGCAACATAATAACCTCTAGGTCCATTCATGTCATTGAAAATGGTAGGATTTCATTTTTTTAATGGCTGAGTGATACACCATTGTATATATGAACCATAATTTCTTTATCCAATTGTCTCCTGATGGGCATTTAGGTTGCTTCCATATCTCGGCTATTGTAACTTATGCTGCTGTGAACATAGGGGTGCACAGATCTTTATGGATTACTGTTTTGGTTTTATTTGGATAAATACCCAGAAGTGCAACTGCTGGGTCAAAAAGCATATTCATTTTTAATTTTTTGAGAAACCCCCAGACTATTTTCCAAAGTGGCTGTACCAATTTGCAGTCCCATCAACAGTGTGTGGGAGTTCCCTTTTCTCCACATCCTCGCCAATACTTGTAATTCTTTGATTTGTTGATGATAGCCATTCTGATAGGTGTCAGGTGATATCTCATTGTGGTTTTAATTTGTATTTCTCTGATGATTAATGACCTTGAGCATCTTTTCACATGTCTATTGGCCATCTGTATTTCCTCTTTGGAGAAATATCTGTCCAGGTCTCTACTTATTTTTTAATTGGTCTTCACTGTGTGAAATCTTTTTAGTTTGATGTAGTCCAATTTGTTTATTTTTATCTTTTGTTTCCCTTATCTGAGGAGACATGTCAAAAACATATTGCTAAGACCAATGCCAAAGAGTTTACTGCCTATGTTTTCTTCTAGAAGTTTTATGGTTTCAGGTCTTACATTTAAGTCTTCAATCCATTTTGAGTTTATTTTTGTACATGGCGTGAGAAGGGGTCCAGTTTCCTTTATCTGCATGTATCTGTCCAATTTTCCCAGCACCATTTATTGAAGAAACTGTCTTTACCCCATTCTATAGTCTTTCCTCCTTTATCATATATTAAATGAACGTATAGGTATGGATTTATTTCTGGACTTTCTATTCTGTTCCATTGATCAATGTATCTGTTTTTATGCCAGTATCATACTGTTTTGATTACTGTAAACTTGTACTATAGTTTGATATCAGGTTGTGTGATACCTCCAACTTTGTTCTTTTTTCTCAAGATTGCGCATATACTTCTTCTTAACACAATTATTAATTCTATGATTTGATTATCTTAGCTTATTTTTTTACAGTTAATTCTGAATCTTCTCCGAATTTAAAAATAACACATGCCCACAAAGGAATTCAAGTTACTATTACAGGTACCTGAGGTTACTTGCCACCAGAGACTTTAGATGAACTGTGGGAAGTCCTTTTACCTCCATGAATGTCATAAACAGTCTCTTTCTATAGTTAACTTTGTCAGGTCTATAAAACTTAGAAAGGGGGTTGCTTTCATAGCTCACTTAATCTCTTCAGATGTCAGAAACTCCTACTCAGGCTATCAACCTGTTTGAATATTTAAAATCTTTGACTCTTAATAGATTTTAAATTGTAAGACTCTTATTTTATATCTAGCAGATACCTTTGGTATTACTCACATGTACTTTGGATGTCTCACAGGATTTGTCTGATTTACTGTATGAATTTATGAGGTCATTCTATCAACATGTTCCTCCCCATATTTTCAATCTTGACAATTTTCTGAGAATGAAAATTTTAGAAGTAAAATTACTGGATCAAGTATACAAACATTTTGAGGTGATTCATATAAAATCCCAAAATGTGTTCCAACAAAAGTGATTTTGATTTACATATTTACTTATATTATTTGGGCCTCCTTTTTCACTGTACCCTTGACAATATTAGGTATTATTTACTTTACATAATATTAATTGTATAATAAAAATATCTCATTAATATTTTAATGATTTATTTTTATTTTAAAAGAGTTAATTCCTTAATCTTTTTGAAGTATATTTTTATATAAAATAAGGGTAAGAATCCCCCCCCCACTATTGCCCAAGCCTCTAATTATTCATTGCCAGAATTATTATATACTATAACGTCATTTATACTAGGGCGATGGTTTTCAAAATTGTAGCCTAGATATGGATAAGATTCCTCAGAGCCTTTTCAGTATAATCTGCAAGTTCAAAATCATGCATGCATAAAAGTTTCTTTGAATGTGCAAGATAGACCAATGGATTTCAAAGTAATAGAGTACGAAAAGTCCCTTGACCTAGTTTCAGATTATACATTACAACTGATACTTAAGAAACTACCATATGTCAAGTTTTATTTGCAATATCAAAGAAGAATATCCACAATTATCTGAAAGGGTATTAAATATGCATCTCTTTCCAACTATTGTGTGATACTGGATTTTCTTCATATACTTCAACCAAAACAACTGTGCCCTGTTAAGCCAGATATTACAAAGATTTGCAAAAATGTAAAACATACTAATTTTCTCACTTTATTTGTTTTGGGAAATACAGTTTTTGTCATAAAAGTATTTATAGTAACAGGTAATGGTTTTTTTTTAAGATTAATGATAAATTTTCTTAAATATCTCAGTCTTTGGGAACTATTGGTTACTTTTAAAGACTTTAAAGGAGCTCTAGACTAAAAAAAAATTGAGTTACTATACTTGATTATATTTCTGAATTCTCTGTTTGGTTACATTGATCTATTTTTGTGCAAGTATCAGTTTGTTTAAAATATTGTAACATTAAAAACATTTTAGAATGGGGTAGGGTATGAATACCCTTGTTTCTTTTATTTTGGCCATGATTTTCTTTTTGTCCTTCCAGCCTTCTGCGTTCCTGCTTTGGTCCTTCTCACACATGCCTAATAGGTTAAGCTCCTCCTCTGATCATGCTTCCTCTCTAATTTAAAGACTTAATGGTTCTTTGATGGCTATGAAGAACGGCTCGCACATCAAATCTAGTTACAAATGCATTTAAAAGCTTTAATCTTAACCATAAATAACCTGCTCAATGCTTCCTCGCCTCTGTGCTCAGACTTTCCTTTCTGTCTTCCTTTCTTCATCTTCCCTATCTTTCCTTTTCCTCTACTTGTCAAAATCTGATCTGTCTTTCAAAGTTAAATCTCATGTCTCTTTATCCCTGAATCTTCTTGGATTTTTTTGTTCTTTCTTTGAAATCTCTCAAAATTTTATTTATTCTCTTTTATGGGTATCATATAATCTTAATGATTTGCCTATAGGTTTATGGTTCTTCTAAGATGAAAATTACTTTAAGAAAAAGGGTTGTTCTGTTTTTCTTTGTTGTGTCTTACATAATATAAATGATTAAGGAATATTTATCTAATGAATTTAATTAATGAGTGATTGTTTTATTTCCTTTTAAATTGTATGCCTTAATCGAAGACAGTGGTTATCATTTATTTCTTTGATTTTCCCAGAGCCTGATAGGAGACAAAACTGTATTCATAAGACATACTTAAGATGCTTAATTAGTACTTCACAGTGTTTGTTAATTAGTACAGGCAGATAGGGCTTTCAGTTTGAATCCCCACTTGCCACTTACTAACTATAAACTTAAATAAATTGCTGAACTTCACAATACCTTGGTTTCTCCATTAGTGAAATGAAATAAAAATGATACCCCAGGTGAGGAATAAATGAATGCATGTAAAAAACACTTTCAGTGTTAGTATCATCATCATTTTAAAAAACACAAGAAAAAACTGGAAACACGCCTAGTATATTATTTTTCTACCCATGATTAAAACCGTATTGTCAGTGAATACTTATATTCCCCTTCAAAGTCTTGTGGTAAATTTTTAGTTTGAATACAAGTAATTTAAGTAGAAGACCATGTAATTTGAACATATTTCCACAATTAAGATAGTGAGGAGTGACATGGGGGACCAGTATGATATTATCTATGGGGATATAGTTCTGCCTTTCTTCTTCTTGGTGTTGGTTTCTTTTTCTTACCTGTTAGACTTAGAAGAGAGCCACTAAAATTAACTTTAAGCATGGGGATTTGTGATAATGTGCATTCCAATTCCTAAAGGACAAAAATAGTTGAGAACAAAGCACAGCGCTGCCCCTTACAGTGTTCTCATGTGGTAGGGCTAGGCTGTCCCCTCTTGGCTGAGTTTGTCACTCCGTAAATCAGCATTATCATTGATCTCTTAGACAACATGCAACATTGCCATTTCCTCTCCGCCTTTAGTTTAACAGTAAGTTCCTGAAAAGTTGGGTTGGAATCCATACAGCCTAGTTTGACAAAGAGGGAAATCGATCCTTTCAGTTATGATTGTGGATTACTGCAAGATTTTCTCATTCTTTCTGCTGGATTTGCTGAGAAGTCTGGTCCAAAAGTCAGGCCATACTCTGGAACCTTGATGAAGATGATGTTTATTATTTGAAACTTACACATACTATTTTATTTTTCTCCTCTAGATTGAAAACAGGGTTTCAATTTCTGCTCAGACTGCTGTCATAGCTCCAAGAATTATAGACCTTGCCCATCCAAGGCTCAAGATAGAGGGTCTATGCTATCCAAGAGAAACATGTGAAAAACCTATCCATCCTGTAAGCTGGCACTGCCTTGGCATCCTTCAGCTCACTTTATGGTTCTTCCTAGGGTGCTATTTTGCCCTTAGAGGGCATTAGCCAAAGTCATTGGAAAAGGGAATCTTGAAAGAGTGGTCTCTGGCAAGAAGGAAGATCTACTTGCAAAGTATGGAAAGGAACTTGGGGGTAGAAGGTGAAGAGCATGAACTTTGGAGTCAGTAAAAGCTGGGGTTGAATCCCAGCCTTGCTACACTAGCTCTGTGGTGTTGTGACAAATTTCCTTAGCTTTATTCATTCAACAAGTATTTGAATGCCTAGTATGGGCCAGGCACCATGCCCAAGGAACAAGATAGAGGGAAATAAAAAGTAAATAGGTAAATAGACAAAATAATGTTATGCAGTGATAAATGTGATGAAGAAAATAAAATAGGAAATGAGTGACTATGAGAATAAGCTACTTTGCATATGGTAGGCAGGGAAAGCCTCTTTGAAGAAGGGATATTTGACCTGAAACCTGAATGATGAGATGAAGTTAGCTAAGTGAAGATCTGAGAAGAGAATATTTAGTAAAGGGAAGAGTACATGTCAAAGTCCTAAAGTTGGGATTACCTTGAAATTGGATGGGGCAAGGTGAGCAAGGGAAATGTAAAGCTAACAGTTCCCGCTAGGATGGCTGTTAAGCTATAATAACAGATAAGGCACAGTGCTCAGCACAGAGCCTGGAACATTCAATGGCTTCCCTTGCTCTTCTTCCTTGACACTCCTCCATATTTGTAGTGGCAAGTTGCTATGAGAAGGTTGGATCGCACAGGAGCAAGAATGGAAGCAGGGGGACCAGTTAGGAGTCTATTGCAGTAAAGAAATGATTAGAAGTAAAGAGAGGGAGATGTAGTGAAACTTGGTATATTTTCGTGTCTTTTTTTTCCCACTGTAGATATCCCAAGCTGCCTTGTTTGCCAAGCCTAACCCTCGAATAGTAGCTCTAGCTAAGGCCAAGCCTCTTCATCAAGATTATTTACCTGCTTATGATTCCTACCGGCCAGTATCTTATGCTGCTATCCATTCTGAAGCATCTCCCAGAATTCAAGAACTGGCTAATCCAAGTACAAGGTATGTGAATTTAAGGCTAAGATGGGACAGGAAAGGCTGGGGCTGCTATGGACAAAGAAAAGTTGACCTAATAAGGCTGGTGAAAAGAATTGTGGAAATATGAGAAATTTTCAAAAGCATCTTTCATACTTGCTACATTTATTGTGACAAATCTATGGTCTTCTTACTATAAATATAAGGCTACAGTTAAAGGGTTAGTGGACATAGATCTAGGAGATAACTCTGTAAGTGTGGATATGAGATTATCTAGCATAGTTGTTAAGTGAAATAAGTTACAGAACAGAGCATGTAACATGTTACAGTCAGTGCAAGAAAAAAATACATATGTGTCCTGTATATACTTGTATATGCTTACAATATCTCAGAAGACTATACAAGAAACTAGTAGCAATGGTTATTTGGGGGGGCGGGGCTAGGAAACTGGGATAGGAGGAAGACTTACTTTCACTACATAGGCTTTTGAATTTTTCAATGTTTTTACATCATGTACATGTATGACCTATTCCAAACAAATGAAAAAATACATTTAACGAAGAAGAATTTACCTCTAATTCCTGTTTGTTTTGAGACTTTTTAACTTGCTTGAATCTCAATTAATTTTATTGCCTTCAAGGGGTAATACCTGATCCTCCTTTTTAAGCATCATTAAGAAAATCTGGAGACACTGAAAAAGTTGTGGAAGTCTTGAGCTCAAGGAATGGGAAATATGTTAGTTCTTATATAATATAATATTTAAAATATTTTTATAAGGTGTTTTTCCAAAAAAAAAGTTCAACATCAAATGAAATAAAGCTTATTCTTTGTTCATTAATAATTTTAGTATATGTGCTGACGAAGCAAGCACTGTCCATTGACAAAGGAAAGAGAAGAGTAAGATCAAGTGCCTAAGAGTCTCTTCTAGTGGCAAAATTTCTATTATTTGGTGGTAAAGTACTAAGGGTGGAAACTTCAAAACTTTGGTTTCTTTAAGTCTACCACAAGACTGTCTGGCTTGTTTGAACACTACCAAATTATTGAGAAATTTCCAGAACTTACTTTCTGTGGAAAGAGCCAAGGCTTTGGAATTTGATCAGTACACAAATCTGGATTTGAACACAGATCATTTTTGTAATGTCCCTGAGCCTTCATTTTATTATTTGTGTTATGGAGGTCATGATTCCTGTTTCATGAGGTGTTTATGAAAATCAAAATAGGATAATATCATTGTGCCTAACATATAGTGGATGCTTGAGAAATGTTATCCATTTTCTGTTCATCTTATTTCAGCTTGAAATCTTTTTCCCCTTTTTCAGGGCTCCTGTACATATTGTATACTATGATCCAGAGGTCTTCAACGTCAAGCCAGCTGCTTTGAAAGCACAATGTTCTCAGAGGATCCAGAAGTTGGCAGAACCTCTTAGGCGTTAAATACAGAAAGCCACATCAGTCAAACTCTAGTTATGTATCTAGAAGACATTAGATGACTTAGTTCCCTACTCTGGTACTGTCAGTTTCTATTCCCCCCAGAACATCAAAAACATACGAGACCCCCAGGGAACATCGCTGTGACCTTCAGTTAACAATTTTTGCTGTTACCTGTAATCATGTGTTTAGCAGGTTTGGGGACTCCAGCATGCAATAAAAGAGGAAATGATAGCCTTCCTTATCCTTACTAATAATCCTTGCAAGCATCTTGGTTGTCTCATAGCTGTGACTGACTTGGAGAAACACTCTTCCCTATATCTGCGGGTTTTGCTTTTTTTGTCCCAGTGAGATCCATGTTCTGATTTCCAGTAGCTGATTTCACCTTGGTCCCTTTTCTAATAAGCCCTGAGAATTGAAAACATTCTTTGTGTTAATTTTTCAACATCCCCTCATTCTCAAGACATGATACTGAAATAGTGAAGCCTTTTCGGATAAATCTAAATGCTTTTTATAATATGTAAATAAAATTTAGAGAACAGGTTACCTTAAATAATCACACCTCCACCAATTTCCATTCCTTTACCCACATTCAGTGTCATTTATCATGAATGACAGAAAAAGTAAGGCATTTGGTAAGAGCCATAATTACTGTCAAATTTCATCTGCCCAGAGGTTGTTTTTTTTATTTATTTTATTTTATTATCTCCATGGATTGATATTTTACAAATTAAACTACATTTATGGCATACCTAGATTTACATGAAAATGAACTTATTTGAAAACCAATTTTATAAGTGAATAAGCTCTTAAGGCTTTTGTATTAAGGAGATAACTAGTGTTGTGGAGAGACAAATACCATATAGTAGTTTTTAACTTCAGTTTCAGAATCAGATAGACCTGGGTTTGTATCCTCTATGAATCATTTACCAGGTGTGTGATTTTGAATAAATTCCCTAACTCAGTATTTTTATATAGAGTGGGTTCCAACTGCATTATTATATAGATGAAATAACATTACCTAATAAAGTATGAATAGGAAACAAATTGTTTAGAAATTTAGCTGCAGAAACATGGCAGAGTAAGAGATGTTCCCAGATCTCTCCCCTTGAAACAACAGTAAACTGAACATCTAAAACTCAACAAAGAACACCCAAACTACACACCATCATGTCTGAGTTTGGGATCCGCACATAAGAGCTGCCACAGGTCAGAACCCCGGGTGTTGGGTGGTGGACTGAGAGAAACAAAGAAGCTGTCTCTCACAGCCCGTGGAGCTCCCTGTAGGAGGAGGAGGAGGGTGAAGGTGCAGCAAGTTCCCTGAACAGCCCTACCTGAAGGAGTTATGAGTTACGTGGCCAGCAGCAGTGTCCAGGCATCAGGGCAGAAAGCAGAGAAGTGGGGACGGCAGAGAAGCGGGGATGGCAGAGAAACAACTGTTGATTTTCCAGCTGTGGCAGCCCCCAAACCCCAACCCAGAGGGCCTCTTTTGTTCTCGCATATCCTCGGAGAACAAAAACCACGGAGCCCCAGGGAGTTCTGAGCAAACAATACTGAAACTGTTGCTAAAACTGATAGGGACGGAGATTGAGGGTAGCGAGAATGATTAAACATCTATAAGGGAAAAAAAGGCATTATTAAAGCTTTATATAAAGCAAGGATCCAAGAGGCTTAGACACTACCTACTGGAAACCAAAAGAAAAGCATCTTCTTTGAAACAGGCTAAAGAGAGACCTTTGTATAATAAATCTTCTTTCTGGAAAATAAAAAAAAAAAAAAGCAGGATACACTTCCATTAATGCCCAGGTGGATAAATAGTCCATTAAACACCATGAACAACCAAGGTGACAAGGCATCTCAGAAAGATAGAGAAAAATCTCCAGAAAATAAGCTTACAGACATAAAAATATGCAACTTAAATGACAGAGAATTCAGGATGGTACTTCTGAAAAAAACAGTGAAATCTGAAATGAGTTATATCAACAATTTTGGAACTGAAAAAAAAAAACGAGAATTCAGTACTTCTGAAAAAAACAGTGAAATCTGAAATGAGTTATATCAACAATTTTGGAACTGAAAAAAAAAAACAACTAGATGAGCAGAATGAGTTGAGTTCAATCCTCAAAAAGAAAAGAATAGATCTTCTGGAGATAAAAAACAAACTGCAAGAGTTGAAAAACAAAATGGCAAGCTTGGGAAATAGAGCTTACCAAATAGAGGAAGGGATCAGTGATACAGAAGAAAGAAATCTAGAAATAAATCAGAAAGAAGAGAGAAACCAAAGAATAAAAAGTAATAAAAGAGAAATACAAGAGCTAGCTGATACCATCAGGAGAGGAAACATAAGAATAATGGGCATTATTGAAGGTGAGGAAAAGGAGCAGGGACTAGAAAGCATTTTCAGACAAATAGTTGATAGAATT